TTTTTTTTTTTTTGGTTAGAGGAAAAAAAGGGGGTTGAAGTGTGTAATGGTAGAAAAAGGATATGGAGGGTTATGGACTAAATTAACTTGGAAAGACGGGTTGTTTTTTTTGTTTCTGTTAGGGAAAAATGAGGCTTGGAGGAAAAACAGAGTCAACTAATGGTGAGGCTTTCACTACGGGGAAGCAAAGCCTCTGCTTTATGGCGGTGTTGGCGTTATACTAATTGTGCCGTTTTAGTCCTATTTACCATACAAGTAAACATAAATTGTTTTTAAAGACATGAGTGTTATTTGTCGCCCCAAATTACTACTTGTCGCCCGAAAATAATAATAAAAAATAATGAATTTACAAAATTATCCTTGTGGTAAAAAAAAAGTTACTGAAAAAATTTTATTCAGACGTCTATTGACTAAGCTCAGAAGCCCAACAAACGTCTTGAAGCTAAGCTTCACAGCCAAAGAAACGTCCAAAATGGAAGACCAACTGTGAACGCAAACGTCCAAAAGCTAAGCTTAGAAGCCCAGGCAACGTCCAATGCGAAGCCCGACTCTGAAGAGAAACATCTAAATGTCAAGGGGCAACACATTTAAAACTTTTAAATTGAAAGCTTATTGTACAGAGAAACGTCTATGTCGAAAGCTTGAAGCAAGGTGAAACTTGCACATGTGAAGCTTAAAAGCATGCCGAACGTCCTATACGAATGCTTCCTTTGACGTCAAACGTTCAACAGGGAAGCTTTACTGTGAAACCAAACGTCCAAGAGCTAAGCTTGGACGTCAAGTAAACATCTAACTGGAAAGCTTGTGGTCACCTGAAACTTTCGTCATTGAAGCTTGCATATGAAAGAAAACGTGCAGAAGCTATGCTTGGTGGCCAATCAAACGTCTAAAACCGATGCTCCTCTGTGAAAACAAACGTCCTAGATCTAAGCTTGGAAGTAAAGTAAACGTTACAAAAGGAAGCTTAAAGCCCTATGGAACGTCTGATAACTATGTTTTGAATCCAAACAAACATCTCAGAAGAAAGCTTAGAACAACAAACTTCTTTAAACAAAGCTATTAGTACCCAAAAATTTCCAATGTGAAAGCTTCTCAATAATTTGATTTTTTTCCTCATATCACCCAAACTACTTTCCCACGTATTTTGCAATAATCATCCTAACATCAACCCATGCAACAATCTTTAAAAGGATATAGAATTGTTATTTAGACACTTATGATAGGGTTTTTGTATGCACGTTCCTGTTTATATCTTACGGGTTTATCATACTAGTCACGACGTTGGGATGACCCCTCCCGCCAATTCCACCCAAATCGATCTAATCGGCCCGTAGTTTGACTGGGAAAATTATAGCCTCATGTGCAAAATAATTTCACCAGGTGGGTCGGGTCCAGGTCGGCCCACGAGATGGCCCACCATATTTTCCTTTATTTTTTAATCTGTTGACCGGGTCAACTCGGGTCGTGGCCCGGTATTGGACTGTTGGCAACCTGGGTCGTTATAAACTTTTGACCGTTGCAGATCCAACTGCTAGATCCAACTTCTGGGCCGGGCCGGACCAACCCATGGCCATGATTAGTACTCTAAACCCGTAAAATATAAAATTTAACGTGCATACAATACATCTACTTTGATTCGTTAAAAAATATACACCTCTACTTTGATTCACTAAAGAACGAGGTCTTTTCTGTTGGACTAATGGCCTAAGTGAGATCTATACATAACTATGAGATTTATCTATAAACTAATAAAAAATTACAATTCTATTCAAATATATTTAAATATGATTCTATTAAAAAAATACTTTTTCATTATTAAATATGATTATGATTTTATTATTAAAATTATATTAGAAATAGTTATATATTATAAGAGAAATGCTATAAGTACTTAAGCTTAACTATCATACGTTCCATAGGGACTTAAGCTTCCTGCTGGGACGGTAACGTTTGTTTTCTGTGGAGCTTCCATGTTGGACGTTTGCGTAGCTACCAAGCATAGCTTTTCGACATTTACTCTCATATGCAAGGTTCAAGGAAAAACGTTTGGTATGCTTTTAAGCTAAACTCCTGGACGTTTAACATGACTTCAAGATTTTTGGTTAGATGTTTACTGGACTTCTAAGCTTTACTTTTGGACTTTTGTTTTCACAGTGAAGCTTTCATCATAGACGTTTACCTGACTTTTAAGCATAGCTTCTGGACGTTTGTTAACACATGAGAGAATTTATGTTGGACGTTTAACTGCCTTATAAGCTTTGCCTCTTAACTTTTTTCAGGCCCTAAAGCTTTCCATTTTGACGTTTTGCATCATAGTAAGCTTGCAATGTAAAAGTTTTAGATGTGTTGCCCCTTCTTATTTAGACGTTTCCCGGCAGAGACGGGCTTCGCATTTGGACGTTTGGTTGGCTTCTAAGCTTAGCCATTGAACGTTTGTCTTCACAGTCAGGCTTCCATTCTAAATGTTTCTGTGGCTAAGAAGCTTAGCTTCTAGACGATTCTCTGGCTTACAAGCTTAGCTTCTGGACGAATTCATTTTTTTCATTAACTTTTTTTTTACCATAAGGATATTTTTGTAAATTTATAATGTTCAATATTATTTTCGGGCGACAAGTAGTAATTTGGGGCGACAAATAACAACACCCTAAATATCAATCTATAAATAATAGCAATATTAAACAAATTTTATTTTTTATTTGCATATATGCCACAAAATTTATTATACATATTTTTTGAACAAATCACAAAATCATTACCAAAATTTATGGGAAGATAATAAGTTTAAAGAAAACGCACCCCAATAAAAAAGGTAATGAGCTTTAAACTACATTCTCTTTCCCACTACTATACCGTCGTCTTCATTGAACTGTAAATCAAACCTTATATCCTCTCAACCTCAACAACAATGGCAAAGACCAAATTTGGAAGAAGCCCATCCATCAAAGCCGGGAATTCTCCACATCGGAGGTCGAGACGGCGGCATTGCCGAGGAGTGTGAGACCTTGGATGGTCGGGCCTTCTGGGCTGGTCGGGCCAAAATTGGGGGAAGGAGAGATGTTTCGTGATGTTGATTTCGGGCTGGGTGGGGGATTTCTTGTCGGATGATGATGATTTGGTTGTTTGGGGGATGGTGAGGATGAAGAGAGACATATTTCCATGATGTATTCTTCTTCTTTTTTCTTTTTCTTTTTTTCCCGAAGCCTGGTGATGACAGCCGGCGGCGGAGGTCTGGGTTCCACTCACCTCTCGACTGGGTGACGGGCAAAATTCCATACAATGAGAGAAAAAAATGATTTTTTATTTTTTGCAGTATATGTTGCGCATATAAGCAGTATATGTTCAGTATATGTTTTCGTTGTCCGTGCTTCGTGTGTTTCTCATATGGTCCGTGCTTAATTAATTTATCATATACGGACTATAAACACAATATATACTGTTCATTAAAAACAATTGACAATTGAAATTTAAATATCACAATTGTGGTAAACAAAAATGCCATGTAAATAAAAAACCAGGCTACATACTTACTATATACTGACTATAAACATAATATATACTGTCTATTTAAAAAAAGTTGAACATATACTCAATGTATACACAATATATACTTGAAGTGAATAAGTCTCACCCGGACTCCTTCAACTCGAACGACCTCCGTACCTGCAGAACCCAACACCAGGGGTGGCCCCCGCGTCGGGCCTCCGATGCCTAAGTCAGTGCTCAGATCAAGAGAGAGAGTGTAATAATGAAATGATGATAGAATGAGTGAATGAGGTACCTTGGCCCCCTTTTATAGGGGGAGTGTACCTTTTGGGCCGAAGTCGGGCTTGACCCCTATCGTTGGGTTTAGATGTCTAAGTGGGCTTATCCTCCAGCATGTATCAACTTTATCCATTAAACCGGGTCTAGTATAATATCCTATATCATCTAGTCCCCTCCACTCTGGTCGAGTAAGCATAACTCGATCCAAGAGTGAATGCCTCTTCAAGTTGTTTTCTTCAACTTGCCACTAAGATCGAGCATCGAAAGTCGAATGACCATTGAATAACCACTGAAATATCCCACAAATGAGCTTTGAGATCTCAAGATCAAAAACCAAAAGACCACGGAGGTCGGAAACCGAATGATCTGACGTCGGGGTCGAAAACTGAAAGATTTGTCAATAAGGACAAGAACCTAATGACTTGCCACTGAAGTCGAACACCAGAAGTCGAACGTCAGCTGAGGTCAAAAACTGAATCGAGACCGCTGAGGTCGCAAACCGAGAATCGAGACCGCTGAGGTCGAAAACTGAGAGTCGAGAGACCGTTGAGGTCGAAAATCGAGAGGCGAGACCACTGAGGTCGAAAATTGAGAGTCGAGACCGCTGAGGTCAAAAACCGAGAGTAGAGACTGCTGAGGTAAAAAACCGAGAATCGAGACCGCCGAGGTCGAAAACTGAGAATCGAGACCACTGAGGTCGAAAATGTTGGTGTTATATACTTAAGCTTTGCTTTAGTGGATATTACACTTGTTATT